CCTAACACTTTAAATGCGTTGAATATATTAATTTTAATTTAAATAGTGTTAAATTCTAAATTAAATCAGACATCAATTTTAAATTAAAATTGTAGGATATATACTGGTGGTTTGTAGACCCCATGACTTTTGCAATATATACAAACGAAGCTTTCATTGTATTTATATCCAATTCCTTTATTACAGTCAACGCATGACATGTAATAAAATACTTGGGCAATCTCAATTACATTTATCTTCGCATATATTCAGAATTTTGCTTTCTACATTAAATCATAATCAATTTTTAGAATGAATGTTAGTGTAGAGACAAAAAAATGTATAAGTTTGTATTTCGTACTGTTATATTATATCAAATTTTACACTTAATCATGAACATTTTGTACATAATAAAATAACAGATAACATTACATTACAATACAAAACTAAATAAATAAATATTTTTTCTTCATTAAGTTCAATGTACCTTACCAAATAAATTGTTAGCATTTTTAAATTGATAATCTCCACGTCCATTTTGTTTTTTTAGTTTAATTTTTTCCTAGTGACTAAAATGTAGTAGTACAAAGCTTTTTGCAATTCTCATTAATTTATTATTAGATAATGGAATTTCAACAGACACAACATCAATGGCCACAAACGGTGGCTTAATTGCTATTTAATGGAAACAATAAAACTAACGGTAAAAAAAGATTTTCCGTTAAAATAAGAATTTCCATTTCATATGGACGCATATATATAGTTTTAAATCCACGCTCCTCAATTTTACTCTAATATGCATTTAGTGAATACTCATTTGTCATCGTATCACTAATTTTTCTCATTTATTTGCTAATTATAATTGATAGTAGTTCATATTTAAATAAAATTATTGAATTGTTGTTGCCTTACTGACTTATTTATATAAATTTTACCGCGTCAATTTTTAAATCTTAGTCCTTCTTTGATAAAAATCTTGAATCCTTCGAGGAAAAAGGGAGTCAAATCCCTATTTGTCATATGGTCGAGCCTTGTCTTGTCTAATACTTGATACCAAATGCAAATTAAATATGAAGATTTGATATGCACAACAGTCGTGAGAAATGAGAACCAGAAAAATCCTATCCATCATAAAACATAGCTGCCTTCAATTTCCAATTCCATATTTCTACCTAATAAACCAACGGTCATAACTGCCATTCTTTTTGGAAAACCATTTTCCTTCCTTTGAATCCTTTCCATGGCATTCTCATTCTCCTCTTCATCACTTCAATTCCATTTTCTGCTCGCATTTCCAGTAGATATGCGCCCTCGCCCTCGCTCTCGCCCTCTCCCTCTCCCTCTCCCTCTCATATCGAAGCTCCCATTTTTCACGAATAAGAAACCATATCGATTCCGTTGCCATTCAAGCAGTAATTCTAACGAGGTAGATACAATTTTTGAATAATGGGATTCTTTCTTCATTATGATTCTGATGTTTAATTGACATTGTAGGATTATTTGTTGGATGCTCCTGTTTCAGTTGGAGATGGGTTTTCTTTCAGTGGAGGTTTGAAACTAAGATTGAACGTACTAATCCCCCACCCCGGCCACCTTTAACTACGCGTTGTTGAAAATATAGAAATTTTAATAATAATTTTTCTGAAATTAAAGGTAATTTTTTGACAGGGAAGTATTCTGATGAACCGAGCCCAGCTGATGAATGGTTCAAGCAAGGAATGATAGTATGTTAATTGTACTTCTGTTTGATATGAAGACAAAATTGCTACTTATTGATGGGATTTTGTATTCAGATGAAAGCCCATCCTGTTGGTGGTACTGGAGAGAAAGCAAAGGATCCAATCTTCGGACTTGCAATGGGTGGTTCTTCACAGGCCACATCTGATCTTTTTAGGTAATCAAAATTGATACTTCTGTTAAAGACTGATTTTCTCGGGGTAACAATCACTACAATAACAAGTATGACAAAATTGCTACTTATTTGTAGACCTGTTTAATTTTGCGCACCAAACATGTCCTTAATAAATTGGTTAGCAATCAATGTTATTCAGATATTGAGGACGGATTATTTGCAGGGCTATGAATTGAAACATGCTCATTTTGTGCAATAGATGGTTTTGTGTAGAAAGCGGAAGTCCTGAAAATCCACCAGTCATACTGATTCATGGTTTCCCTTCTCAGGTGAATCTTATGCTTTCTAGTACTTTTCATCAATGAAAATAAGGTATATATGCAGCCCCTTAACAGGATATATATGTAGTCAAGTTGAAAAGTGGGAATCATATGAACTTTCTTCTTCCTTTGGTAGTTGTTGAATAATTTACTCCTTCCCAGTACATGATTATTCATTTCAAGATACGAAAGCACACTTAAATCCTACAAGAAAATGTATGTTTTCTTCTCCATTATTCAGTGGTACTGAATTCTAAATTTTTCTGATTTTTGATAAAACTTACAACTGAATCAAAATTTTCTTTCCAATGGATCTAAATGGGTATATTTTAAGGTCTGTTAACATTGAGTTACAAGTTCAGATGTCAGAAATCTCAGTTTCTTTGGTATAGGATGTAATTAGCTTTTAGATTTTTTGATATATTACTGCTTCAAATAGAGCATTAAGGGAACTGTCCATTATAGATTTTCGTAATGATTATACTTTTTCTTTCTGTTATAGGCTTATTCTTATCGCAAAGTTCTACCAATTCTCTCAAAGAGTTATCACGCTGTAGCTTTTGATTGGCTAGGTACTCTTAAGCTTGCTCTTCTTACTAGAAATTACAGTTATTTGCATAGTTTCTGACTTTCTGTAAATCACACAAACAAAAATGAGTACTTCCGTTTAGTTTCAGTTTTGAGTAATTAGTTTTTTGCTTAATGCTGTCCTGGTCGTGGCATAAATGATCTATCGTTCATGAAGTACCGTTCCAGTAATTTTTCTAAAACAATTTTTTTTTTTTTTAATGCTGAATTGAAGCTATCATTATTAAATTCTCTTGGCCTTCTTGTTCTTACAGGATTTGGATTTTCAGATAAACCACAACCGAAATATGGCTTTGACTACACTTTGAATGGTATTTTCTGCCACATAAGATTTTAATTAGTTATCCTGTCACTAACTCACTATTAAAGAAAATATCTACTATAATGCTAAAAGTTGCCTTCTGGCTTGCAGAATATGTGTCATCCTTGGAATCTGTTATCAATGAACTCTCAAAAGATAAGGTTACTCTTGTTGTCCAGGTACATGCCATCTTGAATCTGGATCTATAACCATACTTCCAAAGTTATTTGTCATCTGGCCAGTAATTTCGAAGAGTATTAGCTTATACTGTTCTTTTATAGGGATACTTTTCCCCAGTTGTGGTCAAATATGCTAGCAATCACCAGGAAAAGCTTAACAATCTCATTCTTCTAAATCCACCGGTATGATTAGATTGAATCATTACCAATATGGATATGGCATTTATTCCCTTGCAGTTTTGGATAATCGAGATATTGGTTGCTTAGAAAATCACATAACAACTTAAATTATTGAGGATTTTACACATCCTTGAAGTTTGATCGTGATGGAACTTTGAGACTTGCTATAATTGTATGCTTGAGAATGCACTTGAATCGTTGATTTTGTTCCATATTGATTGCTTTTACTAATTCTTTAGCCAAGAGGTTTCATGAAACACATATTACTCTGGTAAGAGAATGTTGGTTGTGCCCTTTGTATATCTCAAAAGATGATATGTCGTTGTCAAGAATCAGATAACAGAATTCCCTTTGCTGCTGCATTTACTGTGAAAACTTATACAGATGAGCAATTTTATTAAGCTTCTGTTTGTCTACCATTCTCCAAAAAATTAATATATTTTTTTTTCTAAAACTCAATTTCAACCATACATTCTGACAATAAAATATTTTGCACGAAAACCCAAAACTTTTCCCAACTTTTTAACTACACATTCTTAAAAAAAATCACTATTTCAAAACTCATTTTCCCCAAAAAAAACTTTTTAATGAGCATCAAACAAGGGCTAAACTGTTAAGTGATTTAGTATCCATGTAGCAACAGCATATCAATATATTGTGTATAAGTTTCCATGGCTCTAAGGTGCCTAATATTCTTTTCATCTTTGATGAAGCTGACTGTAAAACATGCCAACCTGCCCTCAACACTATCTATATTCAGCAACTTTTTATTGGGGGAGATTTTTTCTCAGGTGAGAAAATCAATAATATCACTTGCATTTATATTTCGGTGAAGCTTGTTAATTATTGAATTTCCATTCCAATAAATGGTTGCTTCTGAATCAGGATCCTTTAAGAGCAAGTGATAAAGCCTTGTTAAGCGGCGGTCCTTACAAAATGAAGGAAGAAGTTGCAATGGTTTACAGAAGACCTTATCTCACATCTGGTTCGGCTGGATTTGCACTGAATGCAATCAGTAGAGCAATGAAAAAGGAACTTAAGGTGCAATTTCTCTGCCAATCTTTCTTTTCTCTTCTGGTTTGGGAAGTTATGTTCAGTTAACAGGTATAACCTTAAGGTGCATGATTTTTTTGCAATATTTGTTCAGGTGCGTGTTAGAGAATCGACTAAACTATAATATCCAGTCCAAGATCTTTTATTGTTAATACTTATTTCCAGTCCTAATTATTGGGAAGGAGCATGTCAACTCTACAGAACAGATGCACGTTTTTTTCCCCCCTCCTAAAATCCACCTAACTTTGGAGGGTTAATTGTGGACACTACCAGTTGATTATGAACACATAACAGTGACCCCCATAGGCATAAAGTATAATGGAGTTGCATGCTTGATAGTCTATTGAGTGTCCAATAATTGTTACAGGCATCAGGAAAATCGTGGTGAAGCCTTATTATATTTTCAAATTTACTATTCAAACTAGATATAGGATAAAGCAAGGTAGGCAATGATTCTAGTCAGCGAGATGTTGCTTGAATATGCAGTGTCCTTGAGCCAGCTGTTGGTGTTTTCAAACACAGGAGAATCGGGCTAACTTATTCTTGAAGATTACATTACTTTGTTAAGAATTTGAAGATCATTGCTTAGGAAAGCCACCTTTGCTGGTAAATCTCAGACATGTCCTTGATGAGAGATACTACTTAAAACTACATGAGCTTTCGACACCTTACTTAGGTCTACTTTTGATCCCGAGCATGAAATGTATGGTATATTGATTTGTACTGTATCTGGTTTACTTCTTGTTCCTTCCCAGCACTCCAACCAAGTTAATGTCAAATCTTATTTGGTTTACTTCTTGTCCCTTCCCTGCACCCCGACCTTGTTAATGTCAAATCTTATTTTTGTAAGTTTGTTAATACTCGACTGCATGATGAGTTCAATCAATTCCAATAAGCATGGTTTAATTAGATGTTTCTCAGCATCTCTGGTGCTTACCATGAAGAGATACATATCCAATTTGCTAATCTTTCTTCGTGCCATTCCTTTATCTTCTTCTTTACCTCACCTTCTTTTACAACTTGCTCTGTTTCATCATTGTGCTGTAGTGGATGCTGGGGTTGGAGGGTTCATAAAATACCGATAGATGAATTTGTGGTTATAGGAGATGAAATAATAGAAGATTTTTTTTTCTTCATTATGTTGTCATTATATGGATAAGGGTTTAAAAGATGAGCATTGCCATCTTTTCTCATTTATTCAGAACATGAAAGGAGAAAAATTATATGAGAACTAGAGAAATTCTATCTTTTCTTGACTCAGCTCTAGGGATAGGAATTGACATTGTCCTGCTATGCTTCATATTATCCTTCTCTTGATCACGTTGCTTGTTTTAAGTATTAACTGAAATCTCATCTCTTTTTCCAAAAATTTCAATTCTAGTTTTCAGAATTTCATGTTATTTAATTTGTAGACGTACGTTGAAGAGATGAGGAAGATACTAATGGATGAAAATTGGAAAGTTCAAACAACTATATGCTGGGGCGAAAGAGACCGCTGGTTAAGCTATGATGGGGTGGAAGATTTCTGCAAAGAATCCAATCATCGGTTAATCAGTCTTCCCACGGTAATAATACTCTCTCCTTATTTATGTTCTCCAAGAGATATTATACCTTGCTCCTGTGGCTGCAGATAACCGCATGACATGAAGCATGCTTGGCTAAGTCTAGAAAAAAGTAGAGTTACTTGAAAGTATCTTTTAAGGTTAACAAACATATATATGTGTAAGCCATAATTACTTTTTTGCTATCAAAAACTTGGTTCTTTAAAAAGAATTAACGCTTATTTCTTAAAAAGTATACTTTTTCTCATGGTTATGCAAACAAGCTTAATTCTCGAATTTATTGTAATAATTGTGCAATGTGGACCCTAGTAGAATAGCTTGGAAACGAGAGAGGTATATTAAAACTAATATGTTATGATTATTACTAGGAATCTAGTCACTTTAGATCTTCTAGTAAAGTAACAATGACCAACGGTATAGCCAAAAAAATTCATACAAGTCACCCTGAATCTCATTTTGTTGTTTATTGTAAGAATTATAATTTTTTCTTAGTTCTCTAGGTCTAAGTGTCTATTCTGTTACTTCTTCAGGCAGGACATCATGTGCAGGAAGATTGCAGTGAAGAAATAGGAAAACTCATTGCTACAATTGTAAGCAAAAGAAAAAGTATTTAATACAAATTAGGGGAAAGGTTATTTTCTTTACTAGAATTCAACAAGTAATCATATGTTGAGGATTTACATTTTTATATTGTCAAACAGAACAATTCGACTTATTGTAAAGAATATTATTTGAACCAAAGAAATATTTTCATCTGCTTTCTTTGAAGTAAAAACCTATATCTATACAGTAAATTCTTTTGTCCTCACTTCTGCTTTACTGGCTGCTGAAAGGGATCTAACCAACATTCATCTTCTCTTACAGCCTTCTTCCATCTATTCTTAAAGTTCTCTAATTCAATATAGGACTCCTTTCGTACCTGCAAAAGGCACAAAGGCACACATGAGAGTCAACTCCAATTGTCCAAATGACATGCAGTTCTAGACGGAACAGGATAATATAATAAATGAAATCTTATATTATTTTTCGGTTTTCTTCCTTATGGTAAATTGGTAATGGCATAAGCAACAAAAGCATGGTTAGAAAGAAAAAAATGAACAGACTTACAGCATTTCTACCATCAGATTGATCTGTTTCAGATGGTACCTGCAAGGTATTGGTAGAAAACTGTAAACATTTGTAAGAAAAAGCAGTTCATTATTGTCACATCAAAAAGTATCTGATCCAAACCTTTTGCCTTTGGTCAGGCAACACTTTATTTAGAGACAATTGGCCTTTGTCTTCACCGTTAGCCTGTATCAGTCGATATAAAATTGTATCATCGTATTAAGACAAGACCTTATCACCATACTACAATTCAGTAGAAATTGTAATAGAATGTAATAGAATTCACTCTAAAGTTATAACAAACTAATCTAAATGACTTATTCCTTAGCGAGAACTTATACTATAGAAACTGAAAAGACATAATACAGACTCGATATGTGCTCTTGGGATGAAAAAACTGAACTCAGCTTATGTACCTTGTCTGATGCCAAACCTCCAAGAGTGGGTAGACCAAAGTGGACTACGTACTCAGAGTCGACAATCCCAATATTTGCCATTCGATTTCCCTATAAGAAGCATATTCACACAACTGTAAAATATTATTGGAGAATGCACGGAAAAAAAAGATATTGCCTTCTTAAATGGCAAACCTGTGCACAGTAACCAAGCTGGAAGTCGAGGCCCCATGCATGGACAAGATCATTCTGTTAAAACAACATTGGAAATAAAAATCATATTGTTTATAATATATCACCAATTAAGACAAAATAAACTAAAACGAACATCCAAATATAGAGTAACAAAAGTATATAATAATGCCACACCTGAATCATGTACCAAGCACAACGCCACGATTCCCTTGAGAAAACAGGAGCCATCATCTCCACAAACCTGTGTTAATTATAAAATTTATCATGATCCTAACCAATTACAAAATATATGATGGAGCAACATGATCCCTGCATTAATATGGATTTCTACGAATGAACTCACCCCGTGCATGGAGGACCAGTGCTATCTTCATAGCACCGCCTGCCTGGACCACGTAGGTTTATAGTCCTTCTGGTAGCAGAAAATAGCCAGAATATATGAACTTTAGGTTAAGAATGCAAACTATTCAATCAACAATAATAATTACAAAACCCATAAGCTTTATGTAAGGAAATACCGGTGTACTGTGGAGTTTAACTCTCGTGCCGTAAATTTGTAATGGACCTCTGATTTTTCAGGATCAATTGCTGGCTGTGAAATCTGAAGCCCTTCCTCTTTAATAATTGAGAGATATCTACAAGAAACATTGGGAGAATCAATTGTGTATTTCTGAAAGTGATAATATCCAACTTCTGGAAATGGATAAACTATTTGGTTTAATCTTCATTAACACTTCTGGACTTATCTACTTCGAATACAATAAATTATAACTAAGGAACTGCCATGTAATTATTGTCATGCGTGTAGGTGAATTATTCATCACTTATGAACTCACAGATATTAAAATATACCTCCCAACGTGGAAGTTTTCAACTCCAAGATCTTCATCCCAAAGGAAAATATAGGCATACCGTGCAACAACATCTGGATGTAAGAACCTCTTGGCAAACCACCTAAATCAAAAGGAACAAGTATGATTGTTAAGTGCACGAGATATCTCGAGGTACGTCTAAAACTGTGTAAAACTTGCTTAAATTAGCGGCGAAGAAGTGGTACCACTTAGTTTGGTTAATAGCAGAAACATGTATGGCATAATTGCTCCATTCGAACTCTTTCCAGCGATCCACGTTACCATCATAATGGAAAAGCATGATGGCAAAATCGGTCAATGGAAACTGAAAATAAGATAAGCGTGTAAACCCAAGAAGTTTATATAAACAATAAAAACAGGGTTTTAAATATCATTTCCGCACCTTTTTAATCATTTCATTTACATTGTGTTTCTGCTTTATTCCAACTGCAATTGCCAACAGGTTCATTGGTGACTTGGGCTTCTAAAGTTGGAATACAAAATAAAAAAGATGTTGATCGGATGAATCAAATGAAACACAGTTTATGTAGAAAACCGATAAATTCAGATCCCCTATAAACAGGACGGGATACAATAAAAGACTGTTGGAAATAGAATTAGCCCGCAACCAATGTATTGCTTAATGCTAATGCACTTGACATTATAGTCAGAAATAGGGAAAATATCCCAGTTTTATTAAAAAGGAAACAACCCTTCTTGATTTTGTATATTGAACTGTCCAAACTAGTACTTTTACATTGATGAGTAAGGATTCATACCTTCTTTGGACGACCCCACAGTGGCCGCATCTCCAAATCAGTAGTTATAGAAACAATCCCTTTAGGCAAGGTCTCACTTCCTTCAGGTCTGCACTGATTCTAAATGGAGTAAAACAATGTAAACGGCATCATATAAGCACAAATTTTCATGGTCAGGACTGAAGATATCACACTAAATAGCTAAGGAAGAGATAAATAAAGAACTTCCAAAAACTTGTACAAACCTCACACATCTTAGATTTTGTGGCCTTTATATTGTAAAACATTTGACACCCCAAAAACCTCTGCACGGAAAAATAAAACCAATCATTCATTATTCTAATTCCTTTTTGAGATTGTAGCAGCAACGAATTCAAGGGAAAATGACAACATATAACTTCTTTCCGAAAAATTTGAAGCATTGAGTACAGTTGAATCACCTAATCTAAAAGTTTAAGTTGTTGGGTCTGGAAAGGGGAAAACGCCCCTCATAGGCTTGATACATGCATATGCGTATAAATGTATGGTCAAGAGATTTGAACTACAACCTTTGTACTCTTAATGTACCATGTTGAACCAACTCATCTAGAAACTAAGTCATTAAGTGTGAAGAGGGTACAAACTTATTTGTTTAAATCGTGATTTTACAAAGAACAACATTTATTTCCTCATATTTAAATCTTCAATAAAAGTAACTAAGGAATTATGATGAGTTCAATATAAGACAAAACCAGCAATGAAAAACACCAAAGATTGAGAAAATAACTGAGGTAATAGAGATGAAAAAAAGTACGAAAAATACCTCTTTATAATCGGTGACTAGGAATGCACTCCCAATAAAGAGAACAGCAGAAAGCAGCAGTGCTGATGGAAAGCAATTGCAAAATAATGACTTCCTCTTTGGGGGCTCCATAATTTCATTTACAAAAATCTGAAAGCATCATCAGACATAATTATCTCAGGAAAAAAAAAAATTCTGGTCCTTTCAGAAAATTATCAAAGATTATATTCATGTAACTTAAATCAATAAAAACACGCAGAATTTCGCAATATTCACTATGAAATAATGAAAGCAAAGTCACTTACATATATGAATGTTCAAGAAACAGAGATAAAGGGAAGAAAGGAAGGATCATCGGAGTGGAAATGGTGTATAAGCAGAAGAATATGTATGCATATGTTGGGGTGGGTGAGTGTTTGTCTAGGTCAACGAGGGAGAGAGTGGATATTTGCTTGAAAATGTTGAAAAGTTGAAAGCAGACGTAAAGTAGAAGAAATTGTTTGAACTTGACTCTACAACCTGTGTGCTAAAATATTTGAGAACAAAGACCAAAACTCGCATTTGAAATAACATTTTTAAAAGCGTGTTTTATTTTTTTATATTATGTGCCCAAGAGAGCCTGCGTAATTGAGATTTTGCAGTATATATATTTGATAAATGTATATTTTAAATTTATTTTGGGCTATGAATTTATATAATGGTTAAGGTTGAGAAAGTGATTTTATTTATTTTGTATTTATATTGTTTTTTGAGATTGATTAAAAATTTGGATGAAAAACAAGGTTAATGGCTGAGGTAAAAAGAAGTCGAGAGAATAAGAAAATCAGGAAAAAGAGGAGAAAATTCAATTTAGGGAACAACGGTCCATTATTTTTTTATTTTTCGTGCTATTCATACATGCATGTGCTCTGTTTGGCTCTATATATGTTATTAAAAGAAATAGAAAAACAATCACAAAATTTGGAGCGTGATAGCTTGATAGGGAATAATAACTTCGAATATTTTAAGTAAGAATAGAATCTTGAAAGAGAATTAGAATTGAACTTACGTGAATGACAACAAGCATGGTAGGTTAGGGACATGATTAAAATATCTCCATTTCTTGTCTCATTTACTTATTTATTATTTATTCTTCTTTTTCAAATACAATTTAAATTTAAAGACATAAAAAATTAAGTCAGAGTGGGACCATGTCCTCTTTCCCACCCCAATCCCCATTCCCTCAACATTATTTAGATACAATTTTTATGTGTCTTTGGGTGTGTGATGATGATGTAAGGCAAAGATTGGTATGCGAAGTTATAGATTTTCCTAATCAAATAAGGGCTGATCCGGTTATTGTTGGTAGAACAACATTCGCAATGCTTGTGTCCGTTAAGGTTTACATTGTACAACAAGAGGATGAAACTATTGAGGATGCCAGGGAGAGGTCCATCACGCGTAGTTTCTGGTGTGAAAATCCATCATTCGTTCAATCGTTGGAGAATTTTAAAGTAAAAACTGATAATTCGGAACAAGAAGAGTGTTGTATTTGTTTGAACAAGCCTTGTATTGGAGAAGAAATATCATTCCTACCATGCTTACATTCTTATCATTCCAAGTGTATAAACACTTGGCTAGCGAACAACAACCTATGTCCGTTGTGTCGCATGCCTATGCCCTCAAATTAACCCTCGAGGTTTGATTGAATTTCTTTAGGAACAGTAGTATTGTTTAGCCTATCAAGATATTCAACTTTGGTGCAAAAGTTGTCTCTATGTTTCAATGCCCTTTTATTTTCATGATTTCTATTGCTCGCTGCATAATACAGTTCCTGTCTATCGCAATTCACCTTCGTTTTCTATTCATCAAGAGTTTTGGTGCTGGGATTTAAGGAATTTTAACACTCAGATGCAATAGCCAAGCTGAAATAGTAGAATTGCTCATAGCATAAGCTGAGTTTATGCTTCATCCATTGATGGTCCTCCAATCACGATTCCCTACAGACTTGGTGGTCTATAAATAGGGAAGTTTGTTGGAATTATTCATGCACCATAGTCGGCAACACTTGTATGGTGCATTTTTTTGTCCCTTTCCATAAAAATCAATCAAAAATTGACAAATGTCACATCTGTAAAAAGTCGGTCAAATACTCCATGTACGTGTAGCATCACTCTTTTGGTTGTTCTAGTTTGATTAGAAATTCTTATACTAAAGGTTATGCCAATTTGACAGAAAGTGATTGACAGATGGAGTGACATAACGTTAGATGACAATAAATGATTGAATGAAAAAGTTGACCGTGTTAAAACAGTCCAATGACGAAGTCACATGTGACATCATATCAACCATTGTGTCAAGAATTATGTCAAGTCACATAACGGTGGGTTTCTTGGAAGTCCTACTTAAACTCAACCACAAAGTAGCTTGGCCTTTAAGATTACATGATTACCAATTTTGACTTAAAATAAGTTATTTCATCATTTTACTTTTTTGTTATAATAAAAAATTGAACAAATTGTCCAAAAAAAAGTCACCATAAAATAAAATACAAGTAAAATATAAGGTCCAATTTTTAACAACTACTATGTAAAATATAGAGTAACAAATTATGTAACAATATTTAATTTTGGTGGCTAAGTATGTCGCATAAATATTAGGAGTTTTGAGGGATTAGGAATTATCTGTTGCTTTTGCCGTTTTTGAAGAAATTGACTCCTGCTGTCATACGAAAAAATAAGCAGATTCTCTACTATATATACCTTTCAATGGAATATGTATTGTTTTCATAGCCTCGTTATTTACTTGATTTGTATTCTTTGGAGACATTTTTCCATTATCCACCCGCAAAAATTATCTAGATACAATTTTTAGGCGTCTTTGTGTGCATGATGATGATGATGATGATGTTAGGCAAGGATTAGTGCGCGATATTGTAGATTTTGCCAATCAAATGAAGGTTGATCCGATTAATGCTGGAAGGATAACATTTGCAATGGTTGTGCCCGTTAATGTTTACACGGTACAACAAGAGGATGAAACTATTGAGGATGCTAAGGAGAGAGCCATGATGCGCACTTTTGGGTATGAAAATCCGTCGTCCATTCAATCGTTGGAGAAAGTTAAAGTAGAAATTGATAATTCGTAACAAAAAGAATGTTGTATTTGTTTGAACAAACCTTGTGTTAGAGAAGAAATATCGATCCTACCATACTCACATACTTATCATTCCAAGTGTATAATTACTTGGCTAGAGAACAACAACCTATGCCCATTGTGTCGTACACCTATGCACTCGAATTAATCTTTGGGGTATGGTTGTTAAACCTATCTTTACGATTTTTAGGTAGTTTGAAATTCTTTAGGAACAATAGTATTGTCTTGCATATCAAAATATTCAATTTTGCGAAAAATTAAAAGTTGTCTCTATGTTTCACTAGAAATCATGTATTATGTCCGAGTAATGTTATTTAGCCCTATTGGGGTAGTTTAATTTCACCTATTATTTAACTTATCATTTAAAATCACTTAAACTGGAGTTACAACCCCTACATAGCATTTGTCCTTTTATTTTTATTTGAGGAAATTACACCTAGCCCTGTTTTTAAAATTTACATTTCATTAATCAGATTTGAAGTTTAATTTTTCTAAAATCAGGTTTTAATTTTTTATTTAATGTTTATTATAAATCAATATATTAATAATATTATTATAAATTAATTCATATACACCACAAACCCTAACCATTTCATTCTCTCCCATCTCTCTCTCACCGTCTCTCTCTCTCCCCTCTCTCTCTCTCTCTCTCTCTCTCCCCACCACGACCACCACCGCGCCGCCTCTTGCTGCAATCGTGTCTGTAGTGGCCCAAGGCCATCCCTTCACTGTGAACGCCAACTAAGGTTCTACAAATTGCGGTTGCAGCGGCGCAAATCGCGGTGGTGATGGAATAGATCCTGACTGCAATAACGCAAATCGCGGTGATGGTGCTTGTTTTTTTTAAATTATTGGATGGGTGGTAGTAGTTTCCATGTTTTGGTGGCTTTGGGGTGATGTAGTAGTGGCGGTAAGATGGTGGTGGTTGTACTGCTGGTTGTTATGGTAAGGTATTGAGGATGATGGTGGCACTGGAGGCGGCAGTTCATGTGGTGGCACTGGATGATGGTGGTTTTTTAGGGGTTTTTTTTGGGCGGTGGTGCAGGTGGACCTGCGGGTGTTGTGGCTAGTGGACGGCGCTGTGGTGGTTTTTTTGGTTTGGTGGTGCAGGTGGCGATGATTGTGGTCTGGTTTTTTGACCTTGGTGCTTCTTCTAGTGGCGGTGGTTTTGGTGGTGTTTGGTTGTGATTGGATCTGGTGAGGTTGTGGTGGTGGTGTTTGGGTGACAGTGACTATGTTGGAGGCGGGAGTTATGTTAGATGTAGTGGAGGCTGTGGGTATTTTTGGTGGTGTTGAGATGTTGGTGGCGACGGGTCTCCTGAGGTGGTGGTGGATTGGTGCGACAACGTGGTGGTGTTTTTTGGGATGTATTGATTTGTTTAAGGTGGTGGTGGTGGTGGTTCTGACGGACGGTGGCAGTGGTGCTGTTGGTGGCAGTGGTGAGGTTGTAGTCACAAGTGTTGTTGGTGGTCACATATTATTTGGTTGATTGTGACTTTTAAAATTTTAATTTGTGACCGATGAATAAATTGTGACCTATAATATTTTTGAATTGTGACCGTAAAATAGTTGACACATAAAAAATTTGATTCTGTGACCTACAAATTTATTAATTTGTGACCAATAAAAGTAATATTTGACTTATAATTTAATGTTCTGTGACCATAAAATAAGTTGTGTGGCTTATAAATTTTGTGATTCGTAACCGATGAACAATTGTGACTTTTAAATTTTTAATTTGTGATCGATGAACAATATAAATTTTGTGATTGTGACCAATAAACAATTTGTGACCAATAAATTCAATAAACTGTGACGAGTGCAAGCTGTGACCTAAAAATTACTAATTTGTGACCAATAAATTGATGTTTGTGACCGATGAAATTATTGTGACTTTTAAATTTTTAAATTGTGACCGATGAACAAATTGTGACCTATGAAAATTTTGAATTGTGACCTAAAAAATTTCGAATTGTGACCAAATTGTATAGATTTGTGA